CCGATGTTATGGATTATTCACGACAGAGCCTATGAAATAGATCAAAAACCTCGACGTTAAAATTAATAGACTGACATGTCTTCGTAAAAATTTCAATTTATATAGTGTAGACTAAATATATAATATTTATCATTTTTACGTGTTCTGTCATCTCACGAAAAGTATCTTGATTTATTATAACCCTTTTTATGTTTTATAGAAATGATAAATTTAATGCTGAGGCAAAAAGCCTCATCTTACATAAGAAGTTGTTTTATTAGAAATACGGCACTTGGCACCAAAATCAGACCTGCAATTATTTGTACTTCTCATCGTCATTATTATATCCCTACCAATGTAAAGCTCAATTATGAGCTTTATCATCTAAAAGATGCCCTTTTACTGAGACAATCAAGGTATCTCTCCAATCGCTTTTCTAAGGAGTCAGGAAGCTCCAGTGGAGGTAATAGTAGTTTCATCAATGATACATTTATATCCATTGCAATAACCGGAGTATTTCTTGGCAGTTGCTTGGCTTTTCACTGGTATATAAATCATCTACGTGAATACAGCATTACTGAACAGAAAAATCCAGATAAGTCAGGGTTCGTATTTATATGCTTTTTCTTTACCATTATGATTAGCCTTTTCGTTTATCAGTACCGTGTTGTCACAATTTTGCACAAAATACGAACTTCCTGAAATAGCGCAATATTTTCTTCCTATTTACGTTCAACGAAAATATGGTAATGGTTTCTGATATTTATTACTCATCTACTTATTGATGTTCAGAGGGTACAGTTGACGTATATTTAATAAACGTATAATTTGTACCGTATTCTATTTCAGTCTTTCCATTCATATGAATCTTGCTCGTTCGGTCGAATAGGTGTAGATTAAAGCCAGGTTATCCGTATCAGCATCATAACATCAAGATCGCTTAGTTCAAAAAATCTCCATTGTCAATTGTCCTAAACACAAAAAAACTGAGTTGCGAAAACAGGTCGGTTTGTTCAAGTCATGGATGTGTTAACCCTCATCACATTCTGGATTACCGTGACATCTATTAGGGGCTAGTAGTGGTAATGTTTCTTGACACCAGGACCTCTTTCGATTCACTGAACAGGATTACGCTTAGTAATTTTCTGTTAAGGAAGGGCACACGTGGTGGGTTTAATAATATCATGAAGATTTCACAAATTGATTGGAATGTTACCAACTTGGTCTCATGTGCTGTTACGGGTATGAGGTCTGGTGTCACTTCCCGGCTCCCCACACCGTGGAAGGGTATTTCTTGAGGAAGCTGAAAAGGAATTCGGATTAATATCGAGCTTAACGGACTGGGAGCGTGACCGCAGGGCTCAGGGGACAACTGCTTGAGGCCGGTCACACACGGTCTTTTTGTGGGAGGTTTTTGACGTGCTGGCTCCGTTCTTCAAAGGGCCTTACCGCCGGAGACGGAAATCCGTGAGGTAAGGTGAGGTGTGAAATTTTTAGGGTCGACATTTTCTAACCCCACCCCTCCTTGTGGGAAGGCAGCATCGCTGCAGATGCTGGTTATCTGAGGGAAACACCTTACTGCTGTCACACCCCTCTGCAGTCAGCAGTACGACTTCGCCCTCAGACCTTGAGTTGCTGCTTTTAGTCTTACCGTTCTCCAATCGAGTTGCCTGGCATGGTAGAACCTACAGGAACATATGTTCCAGCCAATATAGCTCGGTTGGGTCATCATGATAGGCAAGTCCGACCACCGCGTCAAGGTAGCAGCTACAGTCGAGATGGCTGGGACACGTGTTACATATCCCCAACCACTGACTGCCTTGACGTGCGGTGTTCAGTGGTATAGGAGTAGGTTGGAAGAAAGCTAGGGGCGGCCAGACCAGAACATGGCACAAGTCCACGAAGTCACTGACAAGTGGACTGAGTCATGTTGGTAGGTGTAGACTACCTGGTTGGGATCAGCGAGACGATAACAACCGATGGTTACAGACCTTAAATGACATGGTTCAAAATCGTTTGCAATGGCGCAGGTGCATTCACTCTTTGTGTTCTCCCAAGTGGTAGCCTTCTGAATTCTTCATGTCCCTTTTTTTCTCTTTCCAAATTTATTTCACTGTATTATACTCCTTAACGAACATCTTCAAACCCTAATCTTTCCGATTACTACCTATACTTTTGGAACCTCTACCACTACGAGATTTGAATCGACCACTGCATCTCTGTGCTAATGTGATGTGGCAACTCGGACTGATGTACGTACGTACGAAGTTCTACGTTGTTACTGACTGGCTGACTGAGATTTCACAAATGCAAGCAGAGTGTAGACATACAATCACCTCTCTCTTGTTCTTACCGAACAACTGATTTAGATAAGATTGTCCATTGTCATCACTGTTCAACTTTACCATCGATGTCTTTTTGTAAACAGATTTAAAAGATGTGTGTGGTGGTAGTGTGGGTCTGTTTTCTGGGGAACGATTTTCCAACCTTGAGTATGTTGATTGAGTTGTCTTACTGTGTGATGATTACTCAAGCTACGGAAATCGCAATAAATCACTTGAAAATTGGTGTTCATAAATACTTTGCACCTGTACAATACTGGGAGTAGTCGGTAATCGCATGCACTTTTTGTAGTGAATCATTAGTAGTCAATAAGTTGGTGTGTGTGTGTGTGTGTGTAGTTTTGTAAATACTAGTAGTGGCGGGACATGTAAGATCAGTCTAGGTTTACTGCAAGTTACTGCTTCTTGTACCAGTATGGGTCATGTTAACGCTGTCGTAATATTAGTCTCTGTATAACGTCAGTTATGTGGTGCATTGCTGATTTGAACGTGTTCTGCGGATTCCATCTAAGAAGCTTCCCTACCACTCATTATTTACTGACGTTGAGGAAATAAACCGGTAGTCAATTTATCACAGCGCCTTTGTATAAACAAAAGTTGTATTGAACTAGGACCTCTTGGTCCATCACGACTTCCTAGCTAGGATCCTAAAGGGAGTGCAACTCAGTGGCCTGAAGCGTTATCAGATGTGGTTAAAAATAAGACCCACTGATTATTCGGCTGCAGTTTTCTATTACATTTTTCATAAAAGTGTAATGAACTTCCATAATTTAAGTGCTTTCGTGAATATTTTTTTAACTGAGCTGTATTTCTTGCTGAATGATATTGCTCATTTGTTTATAGATTGTACTGACCTTCCCCAATTTGTATTTTCACTATATATAGTGTGCACTTTTCGACACGATTTTACTCGAATAAATGTGCTTTAAATAAAATTAGGCTATGTTCTCGAAGTTTAACTCCAAGTTGCTATTTTCCAGTTTCCCGTGGCCAGTGAAGTATTTAAAATGGACCATTTTGGACCATATTTCTTATCTCTAGTACTTCTGATTACCACCGCTACCGCATTATTTCGTTCTTTTTTAGTGTTCATCTTGTTATTTTCGTCTGGTGCTAATCCACTATGGGAACTTCAGCTATCACACATCCTAATCACGCTTTACTTTAACGGTGAATAACTGACATTTTCTTACGTATTTATGACGAATAGTATACAGCTTAAACTGTTATGAAATCATCTTAAGATTTCTTCCATCATATTTCTTATAACAGGCAAGTTGGGTCATCTAAGTTGTGCCTCGACATGTATTAGATAAATCTAAGTTATCCCATTCTGCGTGATTTTATTAGCTCATAAAATTAACCTCATTATTAGTGTTCAATTTGTCTGCGTCAAATTTCCATTTGGCACTCACTGAATATTGTAATTATCTAGAGATGTTGCTTAAAGTTACATAATTGTTAATACCATACCACATATACTGTTTGTGTAAAACTGGATATGAATACTGGAAGCATTTATTTGACAAAGTAATGGTCAAATAAATCATTTTCTTATTATTCTCACTTTTTATTCAAGAAAAAAAAGGGATTACCGTTCTTGTCTTATATTTATCAAGGCTGGAAACTGAAGCATCTTCATCTTCAAATGCGTTTGAAATATCTCCAGTTCAACATGAAACCAGAGATTCAACTGACCATTTACCTCTTATTGTTGAGCAACAGCAGTTGGATACTTTGGATTTTGTTGATTCCCCGGTTACCGAATCAATAAAAGATTCAGTGAAAGAGGTTACAAATCCAGATTTTCATGATGAAAGTAGGTAACCATCTGTATATTTTGTCGAAAAGTTGCATATTATCAATTAATGTTCATTGTTTATCTAAATCCATCTGTCTTCGGTCTGAATTTTTCAGTTGTTTTAATAACTTAATATTGTGACTAACTTTACTGCGTATTTGACAGAGGTAGTCTTCAATATACTTAAACTTATACTGTCTCGATGAAAATCTAATGATCTAGGGTTCGATATTGCTTAATCATTCAATCATAGGTAAGACAGAACCTGGCACAAATCGGCATTTATTCAAGCTGACATAGCACATCAGCGCAGAGATGAAATTATCATAACAAATGCTAGAAATAAAAACAGTATCAATGGTGACAGAAGAGATTAGGCATAGGCAATATAGTTCAAGAGAAAATAATCGGTTCGCGGAATCAAAGTTATCAGATGATTTTCAAACTGAAGATTTAAGAGAATACACAGTGAACGCATCTAGGCTATTTCGAAGAATTCTGAATCATGTCGTCAAATGTCTCCAACCATTGGCTACGATAGTCATGTGGATTCCGAGTCAGTCAGTCAGCTACAACGTGCCTGGTCTTACGACCGACGAAATGAATCCTTATTGTTTTTTGTTTGTTTGACTTAAATTAATCAGTAGGGAAAATTATATGAGAGTTTAACCAGTGTAGTAAAATATGTTAACTCACCAATTAAGTTAAGATTTGTGTTCTACGTTATAAACTATACTTAGTAATGTAACAGTTAATATCAATACTTGACTGATTAAATCTGACTAAGCTAGCTATTCGAATCCTATAATTTATTAAATAAAAGTGATTTCATACAATTAGTTCGTTTGCTAAACTTTTGTAAACTAAGAAGAACTAACATTTGGATAAAATTAATTCAGTTTATTTCGTGTGCTCTTAATCTCCCACATACTGATTTATATAAATAAATAAAAGGTTTTACAAATGTAATCCTATAAATGATATCTGCCGCTTTTCAGTTGATTATAGATTACTGTGTGGCCGTATAAAATCTTTGAAAGCCAGGTTGGAGAAGTTAGTGTCAGACAGAAACCATCTTTCACTAATAACTTTTATTGGTGTTTGTAAGTTTCGGCTACACTGTATTTTATAAGTTTAATTATAGGTTCAATTTAAGGAATCACCGGGATTCTTGTACGTCTCCATTATATCTTTGGCAGTAAATGTATTTGTTGATTTACTATAACCTTTGAAATCTGTAGACAAATTTCATGAATAAAGACACGGTATGCGCAGGAATAAAGTTTCTTGAACAAATTTTTGTTTGTTTCCATAGTTTTCAATATATGTGTTTACTTCTGACTAAATCCAGTATTCATAACTCAGAAATAGATTAACGAATAATCGTAAAATCCTACGACATCGGTATTACATTGGTCCAGAAGTTTGACAGTTGGCTAAAATGAACTTAGTCATTTTTACTCCTTAGCTTTCCGTTGTTCTCCTATGGAAGAACATGTCTGAATATTGCATCATGGATAAATAAATGTAGAAGCTATAAGTTTTCACATTGAACTGCTAAGTATTTTAGAGTCAATCATTCACTGTCATATTTCTTTTGGCAAATGTTTGAAGATACTTTTAAATGATACCGTTTTTGTTCTTCTAAATGTACGTGTTGTCCTATTACTTTACTTAAGCCTGTTACCCCTCCATCCAACTCTGTCTTGTGCAATCCTTTCCAGTTGCTATTCATCCTTTTTATGTCTACTTCCCATTCCTGACGCAGTGTTCTTTGGCCTTCCGCTTTGTCGTTTCCCTTCAGGATTCCAAGTTAGCGCTTACCTCGTGTCGCCGTTTGATGATTTTCTCAATGTGTGTCCTATCCACTTCCAACATATTTTCCTAACTTCCTATTCAGCCAAAAGCTGGTTTTTTTCTCTCCCACAGTAGGTTGTTGCTGATGGTATCTGGACAACGGACATTAGGTATCTTACGTAGGCAATTGTTTATAAAGGCTTGTACCTTTTTGATTGTGGTTGTAGTAATTCTCCAAGCTTGAGCTCCATACAGCAGAACTGTCTTGACATTCGCATTGAAGATTCTCACTTTGATGTTGACTGACCGTTGTTTCGAGTTCCATATGTTCTTCAACTATAGGAATGAGGGCATTGATATGCCAATACTCGTCTTTACATATGCATATGATCCTCCTTGCTCATCGATTATGCTTCCAGGGAATGTGAAGGATTCCACAGCTTCTCCATCAAGTGTGGTTGAGGTGGTGTTCTCCGTATTGCATTTGATGATCTTACCTTTACCCTTGTCTATGTTGAAGCGTACTGATGCAGAGACTGCTGCTACACTGTTTGTCTTGACCTGTATTTGTCGATGTGTACGGGATAGAAGGGTCAGATCGTCTACAAAAGTCCAAATCTTGTAATTGATTCCGAGCTGTCCATTGTATTCCGTGTTTGCTCTCAGATGTCAAGGTCTTCATAATCCAGTCGACCACTAGAAGATGGAGAAAGGGGTAGAGTAAACAACCTTGTCTGATTCAGGTCCTTACTTGGAGTGCATCAGTCAGCTGTCCTCTATGCAGCCCGTCGTATGAATTCCAGATGATTTCTTCGATCGTTGGTGGGGTGATATCTTTAAGAAGGTCTGTAGGTGATGCTTCGATATCCTGGGGATTCAATGATCTGGTCTATTTAAGAGTTTTTCAAAATGTTCGACTCACCTGTTCCTCTGTCCCTGAATGTCTGTGATCGGGCTTGCCTTCTTTGTCCTTGACCGATCTCTCTGGATTACTATATTTCTCTGTTCATTCCTTCTTTGTGTCATGTAGCTGTCTCATATTTCCTTCTCTTGAAGCTTTTTTGCTGTCGTTGTTAGGTCTTCCACATATTTCTGCTTGTCGACTCTAATACTCCTATTCATTTGCTTGTTCGCTTATGTATATTCAGCGTGTGGATTGACTTACTGTGATCTTGTTCGACTGTTGTTGATTACTGTCTTCTTGTTCTTTCTTTCTTCAATCTTGTCGAGGGTTTCGATAGAGATCTATTCATTGTGATGATGCTTCTTTCGGTCCGGTACCCCCTGACACCTTGGAGTTAATGCTTCTTCGATTCCTTTCCAGTTGTCCTCCATAGAAGTTTCTTCTTCTTTCCGTAGAGTATGCAAAGCTTGGAACCTGTTGTTGAGTTATCTTGTATTCGTTAAGTTTGTTAGTATCTCTTAGGAAGGTTTAGTTTGTTTAATCTGGTTGGCGTTTTTTAGCAACGTTGTATTCTTCTGGATGGGGTTGTTGACATCATGCCAAACCCTCCTCCTTTACCCGGGCTTTAGACCAGCAGTAGCCCTAGAAGAGCTACAGATGGAGTTGTATTGTTATATAATTGAACGTAAATAGATAAGTGCAGTTAGAGTTAACTTATTTATATGAACATATAAATATTGGTACAAGGAGGCACCAGATATTTATGCGCCACACAAAACAATGTGAATGAGGAGAAAAAAAAGAAAAGGAACAATAAGGACCAGATTAGTGTAACGAAGTGTAACAATAATAATAATGGGGGATACGGAAAGGTACAATCAAAAAGAATTCTTTCAGTTAAGGAAGATACAACCATTTTTTTATGAAGAAAGTAAAAGAAGTTTACAGCAGGATCGCCACTGGCTTCTATTTTGAGCCATATCTGATAACGTCTCTAGCCACTGTGTTTCAACATCTCTCCGACCTAAGCCAGCGAGTCGTGAAAGACCAACAGAAGCCAGTCCCGTGCAGCTTTCTTTCATACCCCGACACCATGTCATACACTGACCACCTCTCCGCTTGTTCCAACTAGTCCCAGAGTCGGCAAGTAATGCACGACGTGGGATTCTCTGGGACAACATTCGTAGAATATATCCAAGCCACCGAAGTTGACGTTTCAGGATGATGACACCAATTGAATTATCGTCTCTGCGCCCAAATACATGATGCCAAACCTCTGCATTACTGACATGGTGTTGCCACTGGATGTCAGCAATCCTTCGGAGACAACGATGATCAAACACAGAGAGTCGTGTAACACCCTCAACTCGGAGAGGCTAGGTTTCACAAGCATAGAGCAAAACTGCTCTCACCGACGCGTTTTAGGTCCGACCTTTTACAGCCAGACTGACATTACGAAGGCGCCAAAGATGGCGCAGATTGGCCTAAGCCGCTCCAGCTCTCACCATACGTGCATTGATCTCATCACTCACACCCCCACCAGCACTTATGCAGCTACCTAGATACACAAACTTCTAGACTACTTCTATCTGCTCCACATCTAGAGTGAGTACAGGATTAGAATCCCGACAGTCTTGTAGAAGTACTTTGCACTTCAAACGTGCGAAGCACATACCGTACCTACGGACATTGATTGACCACTGATTAAGTGCGGATTTCATGACTTGGACATTATTACAGAGTAAGACAATATCATCCGCATACTCAAGGTCGAGAAGTCTTTCTCCAGGCAACCGATCAACACTGCCATTAATTACAACCATCAGAGCTGTTTCCAGAATGTCATCGATGGCAAAGTTGAAGAGGAGTGGTGAGATTGGGCAACCCTGTCTAACCCCACTGCTCGAATGGAACAATGAAGAGAGGTAGTTGTACGCCGTCACTCTGAGTTGTTTGTATATAGGGCCTTTAAGATGTTAATTAACTTCTCAGGCACACCCTTCTTCAATAGACAGTCCCTCAGAACAGTCCTGTCCAACGAATCGAAGGCAGACCTGATGTCAAGAAACACTACGATTGTTGGACTGTGATAAGTATGACGGTGTTCTAACATTTGGCGGAGGGTGAAGATATGATCAATACATCCTCAACCAGAACGAAACCCAGCCTGCTCCTCGAGAGTCAATCTTTCTCGAGTTTTGAACAACCTACGAAGTATGACGGAAGCCAATAGCTTGGACGCGATCGGAAGTTGACTTATCCCCCGATAGTTGTTACAGAAACGACGTGAACCCTTTTTAAAGATAGGGACAACTATCGACTCATTCTATGACGTTGGTACACTCTCTAGCTCCCAAACCTTTGTAAACAACGTTGTCAGTTATTTAACCAGGAAGTCACCACCATCTTTAAAAAGAGCCGGAGGTAAGTCATCTGGACCAGGTGATTTGTAGCGCTTCAAGAGTTGGAGTTCCTTGCGGAATTCCGCCTCATTTGGTGGATCAGTCGTCACCGGTCATGGAGGGCAGGACAGTCTGACCGATGTTGCCGAAGCAGCAGGCCAGTTGAACTGTCCCTCGAAGAATTCTGCCAATCGTCCAAGACGTCGATGGATGTCAGTGATTGGCATCCCGTCATCCTCGCAGATTGTTTCACTCACACCAGACTTCTTGCTGCCAGTGGCTCGGATGAGCCGCAAGCGGCTTTACTCGCCATTTTGATGGCGTCGTGAAATCGCTACCAACTTGCTGACATCAATCCTTTGGTGGCGGTCACTTCGTTGGCCACTGAGAAGTAAGGTAAGATTGGCGCAAACAAGGGCATGATCAAAGTCCAGATAGGTACACCAAAAGCAGTGGCAGTCTTGTACGCAACCACGCTAGCGGTAGCTGATCGCGATGTGATCAATCTGAGTCCAGGCTTGAGATGCAGAGGGAGGACTCCAGGTGGCACATCGGCGATGACTGTGCCGAAAGTTAGTGCTAGCCAGAAACGGGTTGTGGTATGTACACAGTTGCAGTAGACGGTCCCCGTTATCTGTTCTGCGACCAATACGTCCCAATCGGCCACCTAGACGATTCTCTTCTGTGCCTAGACGCTCGACCTGAGCATTCAAGCCTCCAGCTAGTACTACAATGTCTGTCGGACGCACTATCTGGAGAAGAACAGTTAACTGGTTATAGAATTCGTCCTTGATTGCTTCTTAGCTTAAGTGGAGATGACGAGAAGACATCGTTACTCACGCCAATTTCTCTTTTTGATGGAACTTTGTAATCTAACAACACATAACCGACTGTTAATGGTGATCCAATCGATTAGTGCTGCCTCAGCTTTAGCGCTTAGTGCGACACCAACGCGAGCAAGACCAGACGAAGATGCCACAGGGTCCCCGGATAAACGCACTTAAAACAAGCCTACCGAAGCGACATATGGAGAGCGGATTTGTAGTACTTCACCATAGTCTTGAATGCGGGTCTCGGATAGACATCAGACGTCGATATTAAGACTTTCCAAAGATATAGTCAGTCCTATCTGTTGTCCGTCCTGCATAAGTGTGCGAACGTTGAAGGAAGCCAGTTTGAATGGTGCACGTTGTTTCAGAAAAATTTTCAGTATTCGTATTCGGTGGTTCCATTCAATTTTCAACCAGTCAGTGACTGGACAGAACAGCGTGCTGCTGTATAAGTTGAAAAATAAGGATACACAAAGTGGGAATAAAAGAGAGTGTATGAGTGACATAGTACATGAAAAAATAAAAATGAATGTTATCAAATGGATACGAGTTTTCTGAGTTTTATTTCGAAGTAGGATAGTATTTCTAGTAAATATTGTCATTTCATTTTATTTGTGTGTGGACTGTGATACTGCCAGGTGCTCAAACCGAAGCAGGTGGTTTATTAGGGGGCCATACCCCGAGCCTTTAACCTAAAGGTCTAACCCACAAGGCAGTGGAGCATCGTGAGGAGATGCGGTCCCATGGTAGCCGATAACCAACAATAGGTTCATATGCCATTTGTTCCCTCAGGATACTGTAGCCCATGTGTACCGTTGTTTTGATTTCAGGGTTTCTCAACTCTCCTAGGTGAACTCTCAGTGTCCACCAACCAGGTCGAAGCACCAGACATTCTATTTTTGTTTTCTCAATTTCGTAAACAACACCCTCACCACGAAAAGTCAATGAGTAGGACCTCCCTGGCAGAGGCTGTATACGCGCGGCCGCGAGAGAGAGGGATGGCCACCCCCACTCTCCGCCTTACCAGGGCATTTGAGGTCGACGTAACTTATGGAGACTTGCTTATCTAAGTTATATTATTTGAGTTGGCTTTTGGTTTTATATGTGGTCATTTAATTAATGGGCATGTGGAAAAGTGTATATAGTAATATCTGTTAATCGTATCCTATTCTAAACTCAAAGATAGTCTCCTTTAAACGGGAGTTTGATAAACACCTTATAATAATATTAACTTGTTATGACACCTATAATCTTTTTATAACAGTGCATTATTTCTCACAGCTCTTGTTTAATCACCATAACACTCATTGTTCATTTTAGTTGAGTTCTAATTTATAACTACTATTATTAGTCCTATTATTTTAATATTATTGAACAAAATATATGATCTATTTCTCTAGCCATTCAAATGATTATGTCGTCGAGAGTATTTTAACTGTAAAGCTAAGTGAAAGTGATTAAGAGCAGACAAAATGTAATAAGTCCGCTTCATCCTCCACAGTATTTTTTGTACTTGATTAACAATGATTGACAGTAAATTCCCAGAACTAACTGATCGTAGTTAGATTTCATTTAAATGTTTATTTTGTTTAAACTTTACTTATTCTCTGAAGAAGTGGCTTACACTGAGTCACGAAATTTCAGAAAATCTACTTTTTCTACTCATTGGAATATTACAAATATATATTAACTTATTTATTCACTTAACCAGTTTATGGAATTGTGTTCTGTTGTATACTTTGAGCAACGTCGAAGTATTGCATATTTTCGTTTTGTAAAACTGGGCATTTTTATCAAAATATCTCTGAATGTAAAAGTACTAATAAACACTAGGTTTAAATTGATTTCTAATCAGTCACTGGTTCATTTTTACATGTTAGAGTAGTACATAATCACTAGTGGAAAATAGGAACACTTTATGTCAATAAGTAGGCACTCCTAAGATCATCTTTGATTAGCATGAGATTTCTGTTTTTATTCGGTTAGGAATATAGGTTCTAGATAACGATGGCAAATCGATTGAAGTATTAAATCTTCACCGACTAAGGTGTCTGGAAAGTGTTATGTATACTTGTCCATTTCCTTCTTCGAAGTGCAATGATGGCTGTTGTAGTAGTAGTAGTAGTAGTAGGTATGAAGAAAGCTAGGGACGGATAAACCAAGACGTGACACCAATCTATTGATAATTGTAGTAAGCCATGTTAATATGTTGGGGTCCACGTGATTATCATAACCAATAGTTGGAGACTGTGAACGACATGGCTCAAAATCGTTCACAATAGCACGGTTCCATTCGCTCTTTCTCTTCCATTAAATCCTAAGCTTCCAAAATTCACATATTTTTTGATGACTTATACTTGTTCTCAAATTCTATCGTCGATGTTTAATTCATTCTATTTCCACTGATGGTCTTACTCCCTCTACGAATCTAGGACACCCTGACAGTTTTATCTCGCCGTGTTAATGCGGTATGACAACTTGAAATGGTGTATACACGTACTAGATTCTATGCCACTTTGAGGAAATTATTGAAAACTTGTAAAACAGAAATAAATCGATAAATTAATTAAGTTCAGTAAGGTATCTGTAATATATCAAATCAAAATTTACATCACTGTTATTACCTTTTTATTACTATATGTCGTAGATCCCAAGTCTTTTAATTACCTTATTGTTTTATTAATTTGTACAATACTTCAACTCCATCAAGTAGATATCCGAAACAAAAGTTGTTTAAGAACTTTAGTATAGTGTTGATATTCTTAAATTCAAAAGTTGAATCTTAAAATTTTAACTCGTCAAAATATATACTTGAGAATTCATAATAGCCTAAGCATTTCCCTAATACATATACTTTTACGAATAAGATTTCAGCAAGTTTATATCATTTATTCGTTCTGTGTAGCAAATCAACTATACTTTTTTGAGGCAATTGGGTTTTGTTATAGTTTATATTTGTTTATTATTCCTCATTAATAGTACCGGAATCACTTGTGTACATTAAACCAGAAGATGAAGTGTTTCCTTCACATGTACCATACATTATTGTTGGTGCTGGAGCGGCTGGAATGTCAGCAGCCCGTTCGATACGTGCCTCAGACCCAACATCTAGAATTTTATTAATTTCCGGCGGTAGAGGATCAAGTACAATAGCTGAACCAGGTATTGAAGAAACTTCATTTGTTGAACCACCACCTTACTTGAGACCACCTTTAAGTAAAGAATTATGGAATCGAAGTCCTGATAAAGAGAAAAAGTTACTTCGAAGCGATGGAGATATTCGTCGACATTCATGGTTATATTATGAGCCAGATAGCTTCTTTTTAAAACCGGAAGAGTAAGTTTTCATATACATAGTTGGATTCTTTGATGAAATTAAAAACTTTACTATGGTTTAAGGACTATTTGCGATTTTTTCTAGAGTTAAATTGTACCTGAGAATAATTATTTTGGTTATACATTTTGTAACTGTTATGCTTTAATTTCTAATAATCAACTAACGAATTCATTTTTTGTTGTTTATTTCTTAATATGTTTTCAGTTTAAGTTCTGTTCAATATGGTGGAGTAGCATTAATGCGAGGTGATCCTGTTGTTCGTCTGGATCCTGATATACATACCATTTTTCTGGCATCTGGTAGACAAATAACCTATGATCGTTGTCTTTTAGCTACAGGTGGTTCACCTAGACGGTATAAACACTTGGAAACGTGTAGTCAAACTGGTGTAAATCTAATTGACACTGGACATGTTTCTTATTTTCGTAATATAGCAGATTACAGGTAGGTGTGCTCTGTAATATGTATGAGTTTGTTATGTTTCTAATTTCTGGGTAACTCAATGAACATATTAATCATATTATGTGTGGCTGCACATGCATAAAGAGAAGAAATTGTGATTTGTTAATTAGAATGTCCGAACATGTACCTAAGTGGTTGCAAACACAAAATCAAAAGACCCAATAAGAGTAAATGATAAACATCCATCATCCTCTATCGCCAGACACGTAGTTGAAACAGGTCATAGGATTGAACTTAACATGGCTTTTGTGGTGTTGTAAAATGGTGTAAAAGAGCGTATATTAAGGTTTGTTGAAGCCTTAGCCATACGAAAGTCCAAAGATCCTTAATGTATTCAAAAACGGTTTTTCCTCATCTTAAACCTATCCTGGTAATATTAGCTTATTATCCAGTGTGATGAGGCTTCAAATTGTTTTCCATATTATTCTATTTCTTATCTTTGTCTCCGCTTACTCCACATTTCTAGTCTAGTTGACATTTTATTTTTATATATAAATGTTCTTAACAAGTATATATGTGATCAGATTGTTTGAAATGTATTACGCTAATATAATCTTCATCTTATTATTCTGTCCAGATTAGTGCTGAATTTATTGTGTTATTTTGTACATATTTTTATTTCATCATATATATGACAGTTGATTCATGACAATATTTTCTAGACATCTTAGAGATCTTGCTGATAAACTTCGTCGAACTAGTGGTGGCAGGATTGCTGTTATTGGTGGTGGTTTTCTCGGGAGTGAATTATCTGTTAGTTTATTAAAACAACCGAAATCTACAGATAGCAAGAATGATGATTCCGATTCAAAAACTCAATCAAAACTATCTATAATGCATGCATTTCGTGAAACAGTTCCAATGGGCAGTGTTTTGCCACCATGTTTAGCTTCAGCTGTTGGACGTTTTGAATCAAGTAAAGGTATTGAATTGTGGAGTTCATCAGATGTTGTCAGCTTATCACTTATTCCCAATACAAATGTGAATACCAGTACTCGTGCTACTACTACTACAAGTGTAAAAGAATCGCAAAAGCTTTTACCATTGGAAAATGTGATATCCAGTACTAATACTGATCGTGTTCGCCTTCGTATTAGACGAACAATATCTGGCATTGAAAGAGTAGAAGAAGTAGACGTTGATCATGTAGTTTGTGCTGTAAGTTTCTTCGTTTTTATCATTCAATATAATTTATAATAAATGTCTATTGAAGAAGATAGAAGGAAGATTTTACTTAAGATGATTTTTTATTTCTAGTGCTTGATCAAACCTCTATATCATCCTGATAATTTGTTATTTTTCAATATGTTGTAAAATTACTTAAGTCTATTCTTGGCTATCTAGCATTTTCTATTGAAACATAGATTATCATATTGAATTCAAATGGGCTCACTAAATTCGAAGTTGTTGGGTCAGTCAGTAAGCTACAAAGTAGGACCAGGCACATATATGCATCGGTCCAAGTTGTCACACCTTATTAGCACAATAAGATGAACACCGAATTCATAGTAGTTACTTCAATGGTAGTAATATATAAAAGAAAAATTGAGTATGAGGACATGATACAGAGAGAAAGATTCACTTCATAGAAAGAACAGTATAAAGCAATTTTAAACTCGCGGTTTTAGGTAAGACAAATAGTGTATACACCTGCACCATTGTGATCGATTCTGAGCCATGTCATCCAGAGGCTCCAACTATTGGTTACGATAGTCACGCGTACCCCAACCAAGTAGTCTGCATCTATCAACATGCTTCAGACCAGGAGTTGGTGACTACATGGACTGACGCCACATTTTGTTTTGGCCGCCCCTAACTTTCTTCCAACCATCCCCAACACTAGTCAGAATTGCGCGTCGTGGTAATCGGTGTTCAGGCATACGCAACACGTGGACCAACCATCTCAGTCGATGAAGATTCACAACCTCATAAACTGATTTGCCATCATTCCCTAATCCCCAGCGTCTAACCACTATTCCTTACCCAGTGATCCCAGCAGATGCCAGCAATATTTCTGAGGCATATGTGGTCAAATACTTGTAGCTTACGACTATCTTCAACGCTTAATGACCATGTTTCGCAGCCTTAAAGTAAAACAGAACGAACTGTCGCGCAGTATACTCATCCTTTTATTGACAGACGGACATCTCGCCTTCGCCGTAGGTGACGAAAGTTGGGATGATCAGACTTCCAAGACAAGTGAAGTTGTCGACTTGTTCGACTACTTCACTCTTTATCCTTAATTCAGGTGTTGACGTAGACCAGTTCTGAAGCAACAACTTGCATTTAAATGAGTAGGAACGCATTCCAAACATCCTGGCATTCTTGCTCAGTACTACCAAAAGACTGCATTTCACCAACGTCTTTACCAAAGAGGAAAATGTCATCTGCGTATTCAAAGTCGATAATTGGACCTCCTGGTAGGAGATCAGTTCCTGATAATCCAGTCGGCGAGAAAGTTATTTCCATCAGTATGTCTAGGATGAAGTTGAACAAAAATGGAAATAGTGGACAGCCTTGCCAGACACCACTTGAGGTTGTAAAATCAGATGACAGTTAGCCATAATCTCTGACTCGACTGGTTGTTATCGAGTAAAGAGCCTTCACATGGTTTATGTACTTCTGAGCTACACCTTTCAATGACAGACACTGCCACAGAAACTCTCGGTCAATAGAGTCGAATGTTGCTTTTAAGTGAAGACCACCATTGTCGGACGCCGATAAGCATGCCTGCGTTCTGAAATCTGACGAATGGTGAATATGTAGTCGATACAGCCACGACCAGTTCTGAAGCCAGCCCGATTTTCTCGTGTTTGCATTTCATGAGTCTTTGTTAGGCGCCCGAGCCTGATGTGATGGGTTTACGAGAATCTATTAGTGCAACAGACCTTGAAGAAATCCATTGGTTTTTTGTAACCTCATCGTTTAAACCAATAATAGATGTCACTGCTGTTTCCACAATTGATTATATAGCTTTCCAAGCAACATCTGGGTCAGCCTCGTTTTCAGAACCACATAGGAGGAATAATAGGAATTGAAGAGGGAAACTGATTATGAATGCTGTTAGAAGTATGAGGGCAGTTATCACTTCCCGGTTGCCCACACCGTGGAAGGGTTCTTCTGGAGGTGCCTGGAAACGAAATACGGTCAGGGGTGGGTCTTAGTGACCTGAGAACGTTACCTCAGTACCCGAGTGACAACTGCTCGAGGCGGGTCAAACACGAGCTTCTTGTGAGTAATTTTTGTGTTAGCTCTGTACTTGTTGGGACCCTCATCACCGGAGACGGGAATTCGTGAGACAAGACGAAGTGTGCATTTCTAGGGTCGAGCCTTTCTAGTCCCGCTCTTTCTTTGTTAGAAGGCAGCATCGCTGTTATGCTGGTTATCTGAAGGAAACACCTTACTGCTGTCACACCTCTGTACAGTCAGCAGTACGATTTCGCCTTGGGTTTGCTGCTTTTAGTCTTACGGCTCTTCAACCGACCTATCTGGTATGGTAGGACCTTGAGAAACGATTATTTCAGCCAGTATAGCTCGATTGGTTCATTACGGTAGGAAAGCACGACTACCACATCAAGGTAGCAGAAACAGTCGGGGAAGGTGTTGAGTACAGATTTATGTATAGCGCATCGTTCACAAAGTATTAAAAATGCAGTTGATTGATCACAAGGTATTGATTAATGTCATGTTCGTTTAATACCTTGGTACTGATGGAATCCTGTCAGTGAAGTTGCAATATGACTGTTAACCTAAGTGACTTCATATTGCGTGTACTATGTTGAGATATTAATTGATTTTAGGTTGTCGATCAAAAACAGATGTAATCTCGTGTTAGCTAGTATTCATTAACTATGGTTACCTGCAATTATGAAGGAACTAATGTTTTTTGTAGGATCCGAATCTTCGTCACTAAATTTTTCAGTCTGAGACGTTACCGCTGAGCTACTAGACCTAAATGTTGATCTCCTAAGATGTATCAGGTATCTATCACCTTCTATGCGTTTTTAGCTGATTGCGAAGCGACCAAGTTAATCATAAACCTTTAGACAAAGATCGCTAATTGGTTGATAAAGTAATAGGTCTTTGTCGAATCATGCAACTGGGACATCTGTTACGTATCTTAATCACTGCCTATCTCCGCGGACGCTTTTAACTGGTGTAGGAAAATAGGTTGGAGTAAATATAGAGGTGACCAAACCAAGATGTGGCATCATTTCCTGAAGTCATCGACTTTTAGACTGACATTTTGATCAGTCTAAACTATCTGGTTGATGTTCATGCCATCAGTGGTTGAAGACACAAAGAGGAATGGCTCAAAATCGTTCACAGTTGTCCAGGTGCATTCACTCTATATCTACCCCTAGATCTTATCTTCTAGTTTTCTTCCTTAAATTATATTATGTGTTTATTCTTTCTTACTTTCACTACCACCACCATTACTTTGAGTCCTTCGTTACTCATTACGTTAATTTCATCTCGTACCAGCGTAGTATTATGCCAACTTGGTTAAATGTATATTTGTCATATTCCATACTATGTGTGAATGACTTTCAGGAAATTATTTTGTACTATTAACGAATAGCTTTTCTTACTATTCTACTTTGCTAATATTACATTCTATGATCTATAAACTGTAATTTTTTTCTGAAGATTTCAAATTATTGAGATTTCATAAATTATACAGTAGACTTATGATCAGATTGTGATTAATAATCTAAGCACATCTTCCATTCTATTGTATTACAAATGAGCTATATTTAATGAACGCAAATGCATGTTGAATGCGAAAGCAATTCGCCCTAGTCGGTTATGAAATTACAAATAATTTACACAGGAAATTTCTTACAAAACTATACAAGTGGCAACAGGAATATTTACAATATTTGTGTAATTTTAATGAAATTATTCTCAATCTTGAGAATTAAAAAAAGACCATCAATTGAATTTGACCAATATTTATTTTTGGAAATTCACTTGATTCTTTCTGACACTATGTTAGCGGGACATAGACTAGGTTAAAGCATGCTCAATGCATGATTGCTTTGGTGCACGCTGATTGGTTAATTCTTATCCAATCAGCACTAGCCGATAGTTGGAGAATTCTCTGGAATCTTCTTATGTAAAAACTATAAATATACTGACGTTTTCCCTATTGTGCTTCTTACTTGCTTCTTGCTTCCATCTAACCTTGTTATTTGGAATATAATCTCTTTCCTGTTCAACCGTGTCTTGATTTGGGGACTTGTCGAGTGAATCGGTGTCCGAGAATACTAAGCATTAGGAATAGCTGGGTCATAACCGTAAGAAAAGAGAGATTATAACACACTAATTCTCTAAAGTCATATGTTCCCATTGGTTGTCTGATTATGGACTGATATATATTCTTATTGTATAACTATGGTATGTATATTCATACTCCTTTTATTATAAGCTTCCATGTAACTTATTGACTACTATTATACGATTTAGTATTCTCAAGTTATTCCATTTCACATTTTTCTCGATAGATTGGTATAGAACCGAACACGGAGCTTTCTTCAGATGCATCCCTTGAAGTAGATCCTAATAATGGTGGATTTCTAGTGAATGCCGAATTGGAAGCAAGACAAGGTGTCTATGTGGCTGGCGATGCTGCATCTTATTGGGACCCAATTGTTGGTTGCCGACGACGTGTTGAGCATCTAAATTTCGCTGAAGAAGCTGGATCATTAGCTGGAAAAAATATGGTTGCTTCATTATTATCTGGAAATAATAAATCTTCGTCTAGAACGTCGTCATCATCATACTACCAACACCAATCATCTCTATGGTCTACACTTGGTCCGGAAATATCGTGGGATGCAGTTGGATTGATTGATTCACGCCTACTTTTAACACGTGCTTTCTTTGCCTCTTCCACTACTACCGGTGGTGATGACAATGATATTGAACATAAGTCATCTAAAGAGGACAATTCGACGACTCGATCTTTTTCCCATATACCTGATTCTAGTATAGGTAGACTTACCAAAGGTGTTGTTTTCTATCTTACCCCAAAAGATAAAAGATTAGTTGGTATTCTGCTATGGAATATGCCTGATGAAATTTATACAGATGCAAATTATCCGGCACCTAGTCGACTTAATCTAGCCCGTAGTTTATTAGCTCAAAAACTTATCATTGATCTTGACGACTCCACAGAAAACAACTTGCAAAACTCAACAGGTAATAATTTACGTCAATTAGCCAGTCAATTTGACGTTTATGGAGAGATTGCCGAGGATTATGCACATTTACAAGAATATATAAAAAGGAAGAAACTAGATGAAGATAATAATAATAATATCGCTAATAATAATGATAATTCAACATTTAGTTCTGTAGATAATAAACCTCCCAATATGTAGTATTTTCAAAGAAGATATCAACTACAGTAACTAATCATGTGCTCATTAGCGTTGTGGCATTTAAAAATGAGCAACCAATGAGAAGAAAACTCATTTTTTTGTTTTTGTTACATATAATTTCTTACGGATTTTTTAAATTTCAAGTTTTTTCGCTTACTGTTTATCAAATAGAAACTGATTAGATTGACATTCTCTAATTTTCTTTTCTGTTTGATTGCTGTTGTTGTTGTGTCTTGTAGAGTAGAACACTGCCGATATAATGTTTTGATCTGTCGAATATTTCAAAGAATGTGTCTGACTGATTAAAACAACTGAGTAGAAGAAATTACTCGCTTTTCACATTATATGTTACATCGTAGAATTACTGGATTATTTCACAGTCGATTTTAAGATAGGTCACATGACGATGGCATACGAAAACGTGCCTAATGAATACATACAGAATGTACTAATGGATTTACCAATACTATGTTTGATACTTATAGCTCAGGAAATGTGATTATTCTGTGGTCCGTTAAGTCTACCACCAAACGTCCTAATAGTGATCAGTGGAAACTTTGAATACTACTGTTAGCCAGTTAGAGGTTTTTAAGTGGATGTTAGTTTCTGCTTGCTCACAAAGTGCAATAGGATTTTATCATGATATACTTGAGAAGGAACCTGCAAGTGACCCTAGACTCCGAGGGACAGCTATTTATTCTCAACTATCCATGACTTATTCCTTAGTAGTTTTCGTTTATTAGTTCTTTACTTTTCCCAGTTCACTTTCGAGATCGGGAATTCGTATGGGATAGAAAAGCGTACTGCTCTTATTAACAACCTTCTCTAAGTTCCATTTGTCGGCATCTAATATTGTAGTCATATTGATCCAGTGGTATTTTCCATTGTCTTCAATTATCTAATATTGAATAACTTCCAGTACCTTATCACTCAGCTTAGTAGTTTATTATATTCCTTAACAGATCAAATTCGGTCATTGCTAAGTCCCTGAAGCGTATTAAGACCTTGTTGTTTGGTTGATTTTATGCAGCGTGTTTCAAATTAGAGAACGCGAGTGATACAACTACTACAAACGCTGACGTTCACGATATTTTAGGGCTAAATAATTAGTGTATTTCAACTAAGTTTATCTAGGTGTGGATTAGTTATCATTATGTACTGTATCCGAAAAATTCTGATACTAGAGGATATTGTGATACCCTCACTAAACCCATACATTACAATAATGTATGAAGTTTTCGGTAGTCGTTCTGGGTCTAATGATTTTCGTTAATGTAATGTTCGAATTTCTAAGTTACAGTTCTTCCGTTTCACTTTCATAATGATGTGAATGTACTTAATTTTTGTCTTATTACGTATTATCGGTGTTGTGACTTTATGAGCCGCTTGGTATCACTTAATTTATTCGCCAATCAAAATATGACTTATTCGCTCATATACTGTACTAAACCAATGACGTTCGACCGGTCTGATCAGCCTAGCGTCCTATTAGTCTGTTGCTCACCTAGCCCGTCCAGCTGAGTTCAGAATGCCAATAACAGCCTCCACTATGCGAATAATTTATTTCAAACAGACCGCAACGCAGCATAAAATAGGAAATAACATTCATACACAATAAAGTCAAAAAGTGGCTGTGAACGTGGGAGGCAGTAGTCAATAAACTGAACATGGCTTAAGAACAGTAAATCGTACAATAATAATATCTAGGTTGAAATAAAGCTTATAACTAGGGGAATATAGATATACATAATCTAGTTACTGAATATTTATACCATAAGAATATATAAATAATATTAGTCAATTAATAGGTCTCAGACGTTACTCGTAATGTAATCTTCACTAGGACATAACAATCGGTCTGTCTCATGTTTACTTATGACATCTTTCTTCATTTTAATCTCTGTATTTCAAGACTACTTAACCAAGTGCTTATTTCTGTTGATGTGAATAGAGAAATAAAGATGCCATTACAAACAGCGGAAGTTATTTTTGAGGATGTTATTTCACTTAATTTTTTTTACACTAATCTGAATCGGGAATAAATCGATTAGTGTTACAGTTGGCTCTTCTCACTCACGCAAGCTTGCCAACCAGTCAAGTGATAGTGTGGTGTATGCTACTTTTGTCGATATATGTAGTATATGATACCAGTCAGAAATGAAATGCCTGGCAGCAGAAGGTTAGGAAGATCGGATCGAAGAGCGCGAGAACAAAGGGACTGTTATGGCAATGAAGTTTGGTTCAATTGATGGGGGATTTGAAAATGAATTATTAGACGTATGGTTTTCACATTTTGCCAAAGTACTCTGTAATTTTGTGTTAAAATACACTGGCTGTCCCTGTCTGTGTTCCCGTTCGTTACAATAGCATAGTTTACGTCTCTCTGCCTCAAGATTAAATTATTTAGCTTATCGTGTTAGGGCCGTAACATAGATCGAGAAAAGTTCATTTCTGTATATTATTTTGGCAAGCGTATGAAAGACGTGACATCTAAATTCGAAAATTCCACATGCATATGTACTTGAGTTTCAAAGCCTTAATGGTTTTTATAACAAAATAAAGTTTATTGTTTTCTTTTTGTCTTACTACGTATTAGAATTTCCCTATGAGGTTTTAGTACACTCACTTGTAAAGCACTTTTGATTTCAGTGTTAAACTTAATGACCTTATTCAAAGTATTTATCTGCAATATATGGTCTCATATCATTTTCCTTCGTAAAATACTGCTGTTTTATCTAGTCTCTATACAGGAAGATTTTTTCTTTTTTAAATATAGTTTGCACTTATTAAACAAGCGTTTTTTTCGTACCAACATATTTTTGTCAATTTTCAGTTTCATCATTCCAAGAGATAACTGTTGAAGATTGAAATACATCTGTAGACAATACGGGACTTTCAAACATTGTTTACTGGAGTAAATTTTTAAAAAACATAAGTAAATATTTTTATGGCTTAATATGGATTTTTTTTTAAATTGACCGGTTATATTTTATTATCGCTTTATTGAATTGTATGAATTAGGATAATTTTTATAAATTTACAGTTTACAAATGTTAATATCTGCATATATGTGATCTATTTTAGCGTACATAAATACTTATTACTAAATGTATATGTACACGAACTTGCTGGTATCGCATATAGTACGTAACATTCATTTTTAGTTAGCAGTACGCTTTTACACTGTCGTTGATCAATATTTATATTGATAAAGAAAAATTTCAAGGTTGAAACGTGATTCAAATCCACAACTTGCCTGATAATTTGCACCATGTTTCAATAATCAGTTGTTTACTAGTTGTTGCCACTTGCTTTATAAATGGCATGTTTTTAAATTCTAATTAACCAACTAATTAGAGCGTGATGATTTTGCTAACAGCAGTATTACTAATTACCCTCTCTTCACTCGCTGTCCACACTAAGTATGCTGATGAGGATCGGTTACGACGACTTACTGCAGCTTAACCTTCCTAACCAAAACACAAGAAACAGAACTCGCCTGATTAACTGTATTTATTTTATAACTCAAAACTCGCCTGATATTATACATCAATTAACAAGACTAAAACGTAGCATAAATAATAATAAATCACAATTTCAAACTGAATTGGTCATTTGCAGTACAAATTGAGTTACAGATCCATAATTAAGTGACTGTGATCTATGAATAATAAAATATATGTCAAGTCAAAGCTAACAAATAAAATCATTTAGAAATACCACATGCAAAATGTTCGATGAACCCATGATAAAGAACAATGATACAACAATAGACCTCGAAATTACAAACTTTTCACTTATAGGTCTTTATTTAACAATACACCTACTAATTAATGATATTATCGGTTTGTTTTCCGTATTTTTGTATATTGTTGTGTAGTGAAATTTCATTTTAAATTTACAATGCACATTGTAATCTCTAGTCGACGATTATTTTAATTTGGAGTAAAACGCTGCAATGTTTGAAATGTGTGAAGCAATTAGTGGGATTAGATTAAAATAAAATCTACTTGTCTTTTACTCCGGATAGAATTCATTCTCCGAAATATCTTGCAGTATATTTTATCAAATACATGTTCGTGTAACTTACATTCGCCAAAGAAACTGGAATCTATATATATATATATATATATATATATATATATATATATATATATATATGCTAGTGATATATCAAGTCTGGTATTTAGTCTTTTTTTCTCGTGATTCTTTTTTATAGCACCTATGTCTGACCTACAAGCAGAAGTTTCGAAAAATTTAATTGACTCTCCGTCACCTCTTAGCCTAAAGGTTGGTAGACTTTTTTCCTAGTGTGTCCTAATCAGTACTATACGTCAGGAATTTAAAGGACTAAGTTATACGTGTTATTTATATGCACGTGTAATTCAAATAATTTGGGATTCTATGGATTTGCCTAACTTGATATGTATGGCTCCATCATGAGAAAAACAGTATTATCCAACTAAACACTTGAAAAATGAAGCACTGATGGCTCATCAGAAAGTGTTTTTTCTTTACCTTTTCGTATCGTCTGTCAGTTATTTCATTTTCCTTGAGCCGATTATTGATATTTTATTTTACGTAGGAATATTAGTACGGTTGCTTTTCGATGCTAGCGACATGTGAAACTGTGAACTCATGAGATAATATAATAATGGTAAAACGTGCTTTGATATGAAGGCATTTATTTATTGAAACAAAGTATGTTTATGTATGATCATAGTACTATTGGTTATATATATATATATATATATATATATATATATATATATATATATATATATATATTCTCGAACCACTATCATTCAGTTAAAAATGTAGGTACAACGTGTTTGTTCATAATGGCATATCCCCATATTAAAAATGCATAACCTTTGTTTTTATTTCTCCGTTTTTCGAACTGTAATACTACAAAACTAAAGAATTGTCATAATTTTATTGCTTGCTTGGAAATTATCTGAAATTATTCAGATGTGTAAATTATAATTTATATTTCTATCACTCCAAACTTTCAGATTAATCATTGGTTTGCAGTTTCAGCATGGAAATGGTGTACTAACGATGATGACTGTGGTATTTGTCGGAACGCTTTTGAAACATGTTGTGCAGATTGTAAACTCCCAGGTGACGACTGTCCTCTTGTTTGGGGTCAATGTAATCATTGTTTTCATATGCATTGCATTATAAAATGGTTAAATAGTCAGCAAATGGCTCAACATTGTCCTTTATGTAGACAAGATTGGCGGTTCCGAGAATAAGCATCTCAATTTCTGTGATTTTCTGATCGTTGTTAAATTTTTTTAATATATGAATTGCAGAGCATTCTTTATCTGATTCTAGATTAAAATATAGTGTTTGTGACGAATTCAGTAGCGTTTATTAGCCAACTATTTTTGTGTATACTGTAATTGACGCTAAAACATCATCTTTAGGTACAATTATTTGTACAAAGCGTAGTTCAGTAAAATTCCAATTTCTAAGGTTATTCAAATTCAGTACTTAAAAAAGTCCTACCTCCGGATTCCAGTGAGTTTTGGTTTACATTCAAAATGATGGCCTGAGGATTTTACCTACGTCTCTCAAGTAATACGTGATACTTTGTATTTTTTGTTATGTTCTCTTATGCAGCGTAATGTAGTACAAATAATATAAATATCATATTTTTCATCAAACGTCTATCTCTTATAAGTGAATTCTACTTCGACACTCATATATAAATTAAGCTGTTAGGTTATTATTTTTTTGTTATAAGTTTGAGTCTCAGCGAACATTTCACAAATTTGTGCCAATAATAATTTATTTGCTTTGTTAACGGAATATAAATTTAATCAACTCGGCATGTTTTTTTATATCCTTTCAAAAAACGTATTCAAATAAGTCTTAGTCGCCTAATTAATTGAAATTCCTCCGAATAACTATTATTCAAGCATTTTTGTCAGGACACTAATATTGATAATAAACGTTCGTCAGTAAAGTGGCAGCGGAGTTTTCTAAGCTTCATAGCATTCAGCTGATGATCCGAATATACATGTTAAGTAAATTTACTTAGATTAGTGCAAAAGGATTTCGTTTATTTTTTCCCGTCGTTTGAATCTCATATAACTAGTATTATTTTTGATACATTAGGTAATTCGTAGCATCTGAACATTGATATCTCACTACCGGGTTTAGTCAAAGGAGTACTGTATTTTCGTATTTTGAGATGGTCATAAAATATTTGTTTTGCGAAATTCGTTATTCGTGTTTGAAAGTTCTATAGCCGAGTTTGTTGACTATTTGAAGATGGTGGAATCTAGCCCTTCATCTAACTTGGTATGTATGAGCTTGCACGTGACATGGAAATTGTATCCGAAGATTGAATTATGGGTAACTTTTTGGAACTACTTATGGACTGTTATCATATATATTCCTATTATTTTAAGCTCCCATGTGACCTATTAACTACTATTATACGATTTACTATTCTCAAGTTATTCGCGATCGACTAGTTTACAGTCTTTCACACTCACAGCCACTTTTATTTTGATGTTGTACAATAATTATTTTTGATTTGATGGTGTGATGTGGTCTGGTCTACTTTAGTGTAAATCAAGTATGTCTGAAATTTACGATTCATACAGTCTAAAGTGAGATTGTATTCTGGACTTAACGGGCAGGGCAAAGCAAGGTGAGAGGAACCAGTAAGGATCCTAAGTTGACTCTAAACTGCTCGTATTGGTTAACACGGCATTGGTTTGACACAGTGTCTATGTTATATAAGTCAATGTACTGATTGCCGTTGATATTACATGGTGTTTGACGGAGCATCAAGCACAACAGTTGTCGACGACGTGGAAAATCTACAACTTCAACCTTCACAGAAAGTCAAGGTCAGCCAGTAGTCAGATGAGGGTGAGTCTAATTATTTGACCAATCAATATGCAGATTTGTCGCCCATATCCTTGCACGGTACTGCCTACTAATCAGTCATTCAGGTTTTTTATTACTGTCCTGAATAGTGCAGGAATGAAAAATAAATATATCGATTATTATGGAGCAAATGCAATTATTACTTCAGCATCAGCAGGGTCAATTTTTTAACTTCTCAGGAACAATTGCTTACATCACATATCAATATTTTCAATCCAGCTGCAATGCGCTTTAGAATATAAAGAAATAAAATCATCACTTAATTCAGCCCCAGAATTTTTTTTTATGGCAGAAAATGGTCACACTTTTGACTCATATTTTACCAGAATCGATGATCATTTTCGAATAGAATACGACTATATAGAGTGAGCAAAGAAAGTACGATTGTTGACACGACAACGTGGTCCACAAGAACGCTGAACACAAACATTTTATCCTGCCATAACCCCTAAGGGAATCTAGTTCTGATGAAACCGGTGGTATTTTAAATAGATATTTTATGAACAAGCTTTGCTATTCGATATTCGTTAGTGGATAATATGATATTAAGTCTCCATGTTGCAGCCTATTTGGGTGTAATTATTATTGTTGTAGGTTCTACCAAAGAGTAACTAATGACTCGTCTAAATAAATTATTTAAAAGAATATCAAAGTCCGGTTTCCAGCTGTGAAAATATAAAAGTGAACTACTTGAATCTCTTTAGTATGTTGAATTTATATTTGATAAACATGATTGTTGACCGATCCGGATATTATATATGCCATTAAATTATTGACTCTATAGACTTTCCTAATGACATTACGATTATTTTTTGGCTTGATTGGATATTAAAGTGTATATATTCTGGCCAGGCAGACACTATGTTACGGGAGAACTGAAGACATTCTATATTGATTATTACTAGTTTCACTGTATTTTCTATGTATTTCTTATTCTCAACTTCTGAACTTGTTTGTTTATATCATTATTTTCGGATATTTTGGTTTGGTATTTGGGAGTTTTTGCTCCGGGAACCTACTAATTTGAAGGTTTTTTTCCATAATTGTTATAATTATTGTGAGAACGACATTTGGGTCGACTACTTGTAAATTGCGAATAAACTTTGGTACATAAATGTGGGCTTGGTTATATTGTTCGTTTGGATTCGTAAGTTGCAAATGGGTCGATATACCGTTCTTTAATGAGGAAAGCGAACGAAAACTTGGGCGTAACAACTACGCTTTTAACAGCTAGTCGTAAAAGTGGTCAAACGAATGTTAAAACTCCTTTGATAAAATCAAGAAAAGCTTATCCTCTGATTTATTATTTAATTCCTAGCCCGGAACGAGAACTAATTTTTGCTACTGATGCTTCTCATCATGGTATTGGTGTTGTTATCAACCTTTGTTTTGCTTATTGTAAGGAAAAACCGATCAATGAACCATGCATATCAACGATGATAAAAGTAAGGAATAAAACAATGGAAAATATTAGTCAGCCATTTACTTTAATCATGAGGACTGACTAGGTCAGTATAATCTCATTGTGGAATAAGGATGAAGAACGTAGGTTTGGATTAAGTAAATGTCCAGAGTAAATGTAGACACTGCACAAACATCTTAGGATAAGTAGGATGTTCAGGTGTGCTCATGATTTCTTCTGAGACGTCTGACTTGAGGGAACTGTGATTGTAAGAAATGTTATTAAAATTTGAGTGAAGAGCATATATGTTAAAAATAGTGTACCCCATAATTCTGTCACCTCCTTCACAAGCTTTAAACCGCAGGAGATTATCTCTGTCTGGTATGCGGCGGACGTAAAAATCCTCCCATATATTATGCAATTGATATAAGAGTAATATACACAAAAATAAGCGTGTAAGCAAGCCGTGTTGTGGTGGATTTTCTAGACTTTAACACAACAACGCGGATTCACTCCAAAGCCAAATCCTAACGTTTCCCCAAGACAACTCATATAAAGTTATTAAACATGTAGTTTTGACAAAAGTACATTCCCAACCTTTGACTAGTCCATCATTATCTACCTTATAACGATATCTTCGATGTTAGTGCACTAATAATTCTTTAGTAATAGGGGGAGGAGGTCTATCGGCTTTTAATAATCCATGCATTTTCTAACACTGTAGAGGTCCGATCTCGTTTTGAATATATCAACAGAATTTGCTGGTGATGCGTGTTCTGGTAGAGAATTACAATAATTCACTACTCGGTACGAGATACGAGACTTCAGGCGTAGATGATTTAATCTCGGTTTTCGAACTTTCTTGAAGGTCCTCTCAAACGATCAGTCCTAGGCGGTAGGAAAAGATAAGACACTAAGACCAAAGTTAACGATACGATAGGCCAATATTGGATCAACTCGTAATCTGTGGCAAGACAACGTAAACAAGTTGAGATTTCCAAGTCTGTTTTCGTAAGATAGACCAGAGAGAACTTTTGTCATTTTAGTCCCTTGTCGTTGAACTCGTTCTGTTATATTCGCCTCATACTTGAAACAAGGACTAGCTGCTTTGACAAAATATCCCAAATGTAGTCTCACGAAAGTTAGGTGTACCACTTCAAGCATTTTTTTCGTCCAAGTACTAAAATGACCAACTCATAGGTCATATTACCTCAAAGCACTTCACAGCAGCTTTGCATTTGCTCGTATTTTTGAGGTTGCTGATATTGTGACTCCGCAATCTTCATAGTCCATTATTTCGGATAACACAACTCTACGTATTATGTAGTGATATGAATCATCAGAGCTATGGAATTAGATGACCATATTGACTTCTGGTGACCATCCATGAACCAGTGAATTGAGGTCATTCTGTTGTACTATTCTATCTGACATACTATGTATTGGTCCTTAAATCTTTCTGTCATCGGCGAGTAGTCCGGATGACATTGCTACAGTTCGTAGTTCATTAACACAAAGTAAAAAGAAAGGAGGATCAAGAATTGTATCTTGGGAGCTCCATTTTTACAGGTTCTAACAATGAGAGCGCTCCATTTACTTTTATCCACTGTCTTCTACCACTGAAAAAGTCACTTATCCGGTCTATGACTTGATAATAGATTGCAAAACTTTCCAGTTTTAATTTGAGACCCTAATGAGAGACTATAGTATTCTAATTGTCGTATGAATTAGGGATTCCAGGATTAACGCAATTGAATTAAGAAGACAGAGGCACAAACGAATGTATTGTATTTAGAATTCGAAATCAAACATTCAACCAGTACAAAGGTATCATTGGTTCATTCAAACACCACAGAGACTTTGTCAAAGATCTACGAAAATTACTTCTTCGGGAATATTTCGATCTTTTGCTGCAGCCCAATCTTCTCTTGCAATGAGCAGATTTGTCAAGCGTGATATACCTCTCTAAAAACTATGTTGTTCCCTGGATAAGTTTTTATGTCCTTCCACACAGTTTATAAGAGGCATTTGAATAATATTTCCATTAGTTTGATAAGTTCACTGGTTAGACCAACGGATCGCTAGTTACTAAACAAGAATCTACTCCT